ACTCTTCATCAAGTTTGATGACACAACCGTGTGAAGTCACTGATCTTATAGCGTGGATTTAATTAGTCAGAATATGGAAGGAAATCTGTTGGGAAATGACAACCCAATATATCTCTCATGTTTTATTCTCGTCTCGGCGTCCCTGCGTCTCGGCGTCCCTGCGTCCCGGCGTCCCGGCGTCCCTGCGTCCCGGCGTCCCTGCGTCCCGGCGTCCCTGCGTCCCGGCGTCCCGGCGTCCCTGCCTCCCGGCGTCCCTGCCTCCCGTCGTCCCGGCGTCCCTGCGTCCAGCGTCCCTGCGTCTCGGCGTCTCGGCATCCCTGCGTCCCTGCGTCTCGGCGTCCCTGCAGGTTGTGAGGAAGCATTTCTACGGCTGGTTCTTGGACATCATTAGTGGAAGCTGAATGAGTCAAGTGGTTCCAGCCAGCTGTCCCTTGTCTTTAGGAAGAGCTGCTCCGTGGTCTCGGTGATGGTTGTGCAGTCGGAGGTCAGATATCTGAGGATTCTTAACTGAGTTCAGACACGTCGAGCATCAGATCTCCTCTCAGACTCTCATTCTGTACATTCCTCACATTCCTGTCTGCCTGCCTGTGTGTGTGTGTGTGTGTGTGTGTGTGTGTGTGTGTGTGTGTGTGTGTGTGTGTGTGTGTGTGTGTGTGTTGTACCAGCTCTCTCTCTGGATGATATGAAGCACAGACCAGTCTTCTACAGCGCTGCATGAATCCTCCGAACAAAGAGACGACCAGCGCTAGACCCAACAGGAAACCTGTAGCAGAACCAGAATCAGAAGCAGAACCAGGACCAGGACCAGTAGAACCTGGACCAGGACCAGTAGAACCAGTAAGATAAACTTCAGGGCTCAGGTCAGAATAATTTCAGTGCCATTTCTACAGCTTTGTGCATCTCACAATAAAACCTTTGAATCTTGAATCTTTGAACCTGTCTAGAGTCTAACGGATGCATGCATTTAAACGGCTCGGGGAGGATATCGTGTTCTGTGCTGATGTCACAGATTTGATGACCTCATTTCCTCTGTGAGCTCACCCAGCAGGAAGCAGTTGGCGTGGTCGGGCTCTGCCGGCGGCTGAAGGCACTTCCTGCTGAGCACCGTCACGTTCCCTCGCTGCAGGACGTCGAACGACGCCACCAGATCCCTGAAGATGTCCGAGGCGTAACCGGATCCGCTCACCTGCAGCGCCACCGTCACCGGGGCTGAGGGAAACATGTGACGGAAACTTCTGGATCAATGGAGACTCAGAGAGACACAGAGAGAGCTGGAACTCTGATGGAAACACAGATGATCTGTGTTTCTGAAGACCTCTACCCCAGACCCATGTGTTCAGCTCTGAGAGGACAATCAACATGCTGCATATGAAGCACTGTGACCTCTATCAGCTGACCCAACAGGAGCAGGGAGACACTGAGAGCAGCCCAAGGTGCAGCTGCTCAGTGAGGTCAGACTGATACACTGGGTCAGAGGAAGGGCGCAGGACAATAGTTCCCCAACAGTTACCACGGAGACAGCAGAGACACAGAGGGCGGGGCTAAGTTCAACACATTAGTGTTCACGTTAACTTTCAAGAAGAAAAAACTGTGGAAGGGTTCAAGTAGTTAGATGAAAACATGAACAACACCGTGGTGACAACCTGTCAATCACAGGTAGCCCCGCCCTTAAGCATACGCTGCTTTATCATCTATTTTACTCAGACCATAGTTTACGAAATGAACTTCATACTGTGTGGAAGAAGACTTGAGACGATAAACTCTTCAGGGAAATGTTTACTGAGGTAATGAAGAGAGAAGCCGGAACATTTCCTCACAGACTTCTATTCAATATTGTTGTGAAAACACTGAGTGTCCTCCTCCAACATGAGAGTAGCATGCTAACAGAGGTATCAACTGTAGCTGTGAACATGGCAGGATGTGTGATTACCTAGAAGAGCATCAGGACTGTTTGAGGCAGATGATAGCTATGTGATTAACATGATGATTCAGCCTCTATGGAGAGAGACATCAAGCATGCTCATTTCTGACGTGGAGCTAATCTGAAGTAACCATTGAATACTGCTTTCTATTCCTCCATCTTGTGACTGTGTGACTCCCTCTCTTGGATATCAGCATGTGAAGGACACTGCTCAGGAACTAGTCTCTGTATGTGATGACTCCTTCTGGAGAGGATCACAGATACATGGATCCTGAGGCTGAAGCTCAAGCCGGGGACCAGGGAGATGTTTCTAACAAATATAACTTATTTTTGCCCCCTGTTGGATAGTAGAGGAATGCAGGACTAAAACACTTCCCATGTAACCAAAAAGGCGTTGTGGTCTCACCTCGGGCCACCACGTCCCCCTTCACCTGGTGGTTCACCTGGTCCAGCGTCCAGAACACCAGGAAGTCCAGCGCCACCAGCAGGCCTCCCATCACCAGGTGTTTGAGCACCGAGGCCACGCCCCTAAACATGGCCCGCCGCTCCCGGGCCGACAGCTGCAGAGACACTACAGGACGAGGCTTTGGGTTACTCAGATTGCATTCAGCTCATTGGTTACAGCACAACGGAAGTCTAGAAGGACCTCATTGTCTTGCTTTCAAATGAAATACATTCAATGACCACTTTTTACAAAATCCATCAACTGCTTTCAAATTAAATAAGCTGGAAGGTGTCACCATTTTTTTTTTTTATGAAAGCAATACTTTTATTTTTGCAATTTCCTAAAAGCCCTGTGGGTTTGGGAAATTATTCTTTAACATAAATGTTAATTAAGAATATCTTCATCTGATCATTTAAATGAATTTCAGTTATCACTTAACAAAGCCAAAAGTGATGACGTCATTCAAAAACACACTCACACACACACACACTGTACTGACGTGGTGTGATGTAGGTCTTGGCCTCCCTGCGTGTGATTGGCAGCACTGAGGCTCCGCCCCCGCAGGTCACCTGACGGTCGAGCTCTTCAAACTGAGCGCTCAGGTATACGTTATCGAAGTCGAGTTCACGGAGATACCTGTGTCTGTACCGCACCGCCCTGCGCACACACACACACGCACACAAATAAAAGTGTGTCAATAAAATAGCGCCCCCTGAGGCCGTACTGCTCTTTACACGCTGGTTGAGGTTGACGACATCAATACGTCTCTAAATGCCCCACTGGTGGATTTAAGAGTGGTTGCTACCAAGAGTCTAAATGATACGACTACACGTCATCACGCCCATTAGCCTCTTTTAGCTTAGCGGTGGTGACGAGAAGTCATGTGACTTTACACCCCCCCCCCACTGAGGCGCACTGCCTCTGCACTCTTTCTTTTCATTTACATGAATCAAACATTGGAATCTGCTTCCACCTGATCTTAAAACCTTCTCAGATTTTCATTACTTTTCCCAAATGTTTTTGCCGATATTAATTTTATTGTAATTGATGTGTTTTGTTCTCTGTTTGAACCGTTTGTGTGAAAGCATTAAGAAAGGTGTTCCTGCCCAGGGAGTGCAGCAGGTGAGCAGTTGTTGAGAGTTGTGTTATGACTGTGCATGGTCCTTGTGTAATAAGGATCTCTAAGTGAGTGACCTCAGGAAGCCGCAGACGAGCAGCAGGAAGCCTCCGTACATCAGCGGCGCGCTGAGCGTCTGGAACAGCTTCAGCTCGGAGGAGACGTCCCGCATGATGTCCTGGGAAACCTGCTGCAGCGAGCGGCTGCTGTTAGCCTCCAGCTCGAAGGTCACCGAGGCCGAGATGTTGAAGTCAAACTCCCGCTTCATCCGCTCGAACGCTGCCACCGTGGCTGAGGGAGGTTTCAGAAACACACTCAGAACACGTCACCCAGAGGACGGCAGCAGGATCAAGGTCGAAGATTACAGTTGGAAACTGAGATAAAGAACTCACGCGCTGCCAGACGTTTCTTCAGATGCTCGGCGATGTAGGACGGGAGGACGCAGAACAGCTCGCCGGCTGAAACACACACATCATAAAGATTACCAGCCATCACTAAATATGTCATCTTTAGGATATTTGGTTTATAAATGTCTGAACACAGGCACGTAAATATGCAGTTTATATATATATATTTAAAATGACCAAAACAGCTTTTAGTTTATTATTGTTTATTTTTAAATGCCATATATCCTGTCAATTGTGGTTTATTATTATTGCTAACTGTTTTCTTTACAAATATAATATTGATGTTATAATGTGGAAAAGGTGCTTTCAAAATGTTAATATTAATAATAAAGAAAAATAGCTTTTAGAAATGAGTTTTTTAAAAGGCCTGTGTTAATTAATACCTTCAAGGTGGGGTGGGTAAGGAGAAAGCAGCTGGAGTGGCTAGAATGTGAAAAAATACACAACTGGAAACAATCTGCCCCTTCCTCACAGAGCCCCTCCTCCAACACACCAACGCGCACATGACCAATGAGGGCAGAGATCAGTTTGTGCCCAGATGGAAGGCTGACAGGCAGGTAGGCCATCCAGTTACTTTAGCCGGCTCAGATGATTGGTCGAGCTTTCTACAGCGCCACGGCTTCAAAGCACTTCAGATATTCATTGCTATCAGGACGTTAAGAGCATTCCATGGAATATAACAAGTGTTTCCGAAGTGAACTACCTACCCCACCTTTAAGAACATTTATGAACATTAAATCTAGACGTTGTAGAGTTTTATGTTTTGTACATAAATCCTTTTATAAAGTGTTTCACTTGAAACCCTGAGTAAACGTATGGTTAACTTCTTCAACATGCCAACAATCACTCAGTTCTAAAGAATGTATAAGATAAGGTAAGATAATAAGAAGTACTTTATTGATCCAAGTTGGGAAATGTTTGCATTGCAGCATACAAAGACAAGGCATCGTACAATAAAAGTTAAAAGAAATAAACTTTCCAAAATGTAGAAAATATACATGTTGAATTACAAATGTACAGTAATTACAAAGTTAATGTAAGGTAAGGAGGTGTCAGTGAACGCACCGCGGGCGAGGCTGCAGAGCGGCAGGAAGCCGTCCACGATGCCACACAGGAAGTTGAATTCTCTGAGCAACTCGGAGCAGTCGTCCCGCGCCTCGGCGAACACCGCGCGGCAATTCCTGTACGGGGAGCCCATTTTAGCGTTGCACACGTCCCCGATGTCAACCAGGAAGTGAAGGACGTTCCTCAGAGTTCGCGCTGAGGGGTCAGAGGTCACGGCCAAATCACAAGGGATTTAGGATAGGATTTGTTGCAATTACAATACAGTGTGTGTTTGCCACGGGTGGAAGTAGTGGAGTACAAATACTTTTTCTGGTATCAGTACTTTACTCCACTACTTATTTTTCTGACCACGTTTTACTTTGACTTCTTACATTTCTAAAACAAATACCTGTACTTTCTACTTCTCACATGTTGAACTCAAATACCTGTACTTTCTACTTCTCACATGTTGAACTCAAATACCTGTACTTTCTACTTCTCACATGTTGAACTCAAATACCTGTACTTTCTACTTCTTACATGTTGAACCCAAATACCTGTACTTTCTACTTCTCACATGTTGAACTCAAATACCTGTACTTTCTACTTCTTACATGTTGAACCCAAATACCTGTACTTTCTACTTCTTACATGTTGAACACAAATACCTGTACTTTCTACTTCTTACATGTTGAACCCAAATACCTGTACTTTCTACTTCTTACATGTTGAACTCAAATACCTGTACTTTCTACTTCTTACATGTTGAACTCAAATACCTGTACTTTCTACTTCTCACATGTTGAACTCAAATACCTGTACTTTCTACTTCTTACATGTTGAACTCAAATACCTGTACTTTCTACTTCTTACATGTTGAACACAAATACCTGTACTTTCTACTTCTTACATGTTGAACTCAAATACCTGTACTTTCTACTTCTCACATGTTGAACTCAAATACCTGTACTTTCTACTTCTTACATGTTGAACACAAATACCTGTACTTTCTACTTCTCACATGTTGAACTCAAATACCTGTACTTTCTACTTCTTACATGTTGAACTCAAATACCTGTACTTTCTACTTCTCACATGTTGAACTCAATACCTGTACTTCTACTTCTTACATGTTGAAATCAAATACCTGTACTTTCTACTTCTTACATGTTGACACAAATACCTGTACTTTCTACTTCTTACATGTTGAACTCAAATACCTGTACTTTCTACTTCTTACATGTTGAACCAAATACCTGTACTTTCTACTTCTTACATGTTGAACTCAAATACCTGTACTTTCTACTTCTTACATGTTGAACCCAAATACCTGTACTTTCTACTTCTTACATGTTGAACACAAATACCTGTACTTTCTACTTCTTACATGTTGAACCCAAATACCTGTACTTTCTACTTCTTACATGTTGAACCCAAATACCTGTACTTTCTACTTCTTACATGTTGAACTCAAATACCTGTACTTTCTACTTCTTACATGTTGAACTCAAATACCTGTACTTTCTACTTCTCACATGTTGAACTCAAATACCTGTACTTTCTACTTCTCACATGTTGAACTCAAATACCTGTACTTTCTACTTCTTACATTTTGAACTCAAATACCTGTACTTTCTACTTCTTACATGTTGAACTCAAATACCTGTACTTTCTACTTCTTACATGTTGAACTCAAATACCTGTACTTTCTACTTCTTACATGTTGAACTCAAATACCTGTACTTTCTACTTCTCTCATGTTGAACTCAAATACCTGTACTTTCTACTTCTCACATGTTGAACTCAAATACCTGTACTTTCTACTTCTTACATGTTGAACCCAAATACCTGTACTTTCTACTTCTTACATGTTGAACTCAAATACCTGTACTTTCTACTTCTTACATGTTGAACTCAAATACCTGTACTTTCTACTTCTTACATGTTGAACTCAAATACCTGTACTTCTACTTCTTACATGTTGAACTCAAATACCTGTACTTTCTACTTCTCACATGTTGAACTCAAATACCTGTACTTTCTACTTCTTACATGTTGAACCCAAATACCTGTACTTTCTACTTCTTACATGTTGAACTCAAATACCTGTACTTTCTACTTCTTACATGTTGAACTCAAATACCTGTACTTTCTACTTCTTACATGTTGAACACAAATACCTGTACTTTCTACTTCTTACATGTTGAACCCAAATACCTGTACTTTCTACTTCTTACATGTTGAACTCAAATACCTGTACTTTCTACTTCTCACATGTTGAACACAAATACCTGTACTTTCTACTTCTTACACTTTGAACACAAATACCTGTACTTTCTACTTCTCACATGTTGAACACAAATACCTGTACTTTCTACTTCTCACATGTTGAACTCAAATACCTGTACTTTCTACTTCTTACATGTTGAACTCAAATACCTGTACTTTCTACTTCTTACATGTTGAACTCAAATACCTGTACTTTCTACTTCTTACATGTTGAACTCAAATACCTGTACTTTCTACTTCTCACATGTTGAACACAAATACCTGTACTTTCTACTTCTTACATGTTGAACTCAAATACCTGTACTTTCTACTTCTCACATGTTGAACACAAATACCTGTACTTTCTACTTCTTACATGTTGAACTCAAATACCTGTACTTTCTACTTCTCACATGTTGAACACAAATACCTGTACTTTCTACTTCTTACATGTTGAACTCAAATACCTGTACTTTCTACTTCTTACATGTTGAACACAAATACCTGTACTTTCTACTTCTCTCATTTTGAACACAAATACCTGTACTTTCTACTTCTTACATGTTGAACTCAAATACCTGTACTTTCTACTTCTTACATGTTGAACACAAATACCTGTACTTTCTACTTCTCTCATTTTGAACACAAATACCTGTACTTTCTACTTCTCACATGTTGAACTCAAATACCTGTACTTTCTACTTCTCACATGTTGAACTCAAATACCTGTACTTGCTACTTCTTACATGTTGAACTCAAATACCTGTACTTTCTACTTCTTACATGTTGAACACAAATACCTGTACTTTCTACTTCTCACATGTTGAACTCAAATACCTGTACTTTCTACTTCTTACATGTTGAACACAAATACCTGTACTTTCTACTTCTTACATGTTGAACTCAAATACCTGTACTTTCTACTTCTTACATGTTGAACACAAATACCTGTACTTTCTACTTCTCTCATGTTGAACTCAAATACCTGTACTTGCTACTTCTTACATGTTGAACTCAAATACCTGTACTTTCTACTTCTTACATGTTGAACTCAAATACCTGTACTTTCTACTTCTTACATGTTGAACTCAAATACCTGTACTTTCTACTTCTTACATGTTGAACACATATACCTGTACTTTCTACTTCTTACATGTTGAACTCAAATACCTGTACTTTCTACTTCTTACATGTTGAACTCAAATACCTGTACTTTCTACTTCTTACATGTTGAACTCAAATACCTGTACTTTCTACTTCTCACATGTTGAACTCAAATACCTGTACTTTCTACTTCTCACATGTTGAACTCAAATACCTGTACTTTCTACTTCTCACATGTTGAACTCAAATACCTGTACTTTCTACTTCTTACATGTTGAACTCAAATACCTGTACTTTCTACTTCTTACATGTTGAACTCAAATACCTGTACTTTCTACTTCTCTCATTTTCCAAACAGCTGGTTCCTTTAGTCTGAATGTGTGTTTGGTGCGTGATCATTATTCTTTAGAGTCATTGCGTGCCTATTGATTTGAACACGATCCGTGTATCCATCATTTCCTGGTCTTCTCTAAAGAAGAGGGACCAATGGAAACGTTGTCATGTTGCCGTTGTTCAGCATGGAAACATTCATTAGCTAACAATGACATTATTGTTCTATTAATATAAAGGGAGGTCAGGTACTCTTTAAAGCAGCTGCTAGTTATGGGTACTTTTTACTGAAGTACACTTCAAAGTTCTTTACTTTTACTTGATAAAGAAGTTTAGTCAGTGCTTCTACTTTTACCAGAGTATTTTTAAACACAAGTATCTGTACTTCTAAAGGATGTGTGTACTACATCTCTGGTGTTTGCTCACCAACATGGCGGACGCTGTCAGTCAGAGCATCGATGAGGCTCCTCACTCGTGCGGCGGCGGCGTGAGCGTTACTGCTGATCTCTCTGACTCTGTCCAACACAGCTGACACACAAACAACACTTCACTGACTACAGACTATACAGAGCTGCAGGACGTCCTATTCCTGTGTTGGTCCCTGAAGGCAGCATCTCCCTGGTCCAATGGGATTCCTCCGTGTGATTTTGGATTATGTCAGAAAATAATCTCTGAGTAAAACAAACGTTTATGATATTTACACGTTTAGTTCAGCAGAGTAATCTCCACATATCAACACCACTTTAGGATTTCTGAAGTAAAAAGCTAATGTTGGGCTACAAAGGAACTACAGCACGGTCACATGACTTCACCACCGCTAAGCTAAAGGAGGCTAATGTTGGGCTATAAAGGAACTACAGCACGGTCACATGACTTCACCACCGCTAAGCTAAAGGAGGCTAATGTTGGGCTATAAAGGAACTACAGCACGGTCACATGACTTCACGTCACCCACCGCTAAGCTAAAGGAGGCTAATGTTGGGCTATAAAGGAACTACAGCACGGTCACATGACTTCACCACCGCTAAGCTAAAGGAGGCTAATGTTGGGCTATAAAGGAACTACAGCACGGTCACATGACTTCACGTCACCACCGCTAAGCTAAAGGAGGCTAATGTTGGGCTAATAAAGGAACTACAGCACGGTCACATGACTTCACGTCACCACCGCTAAGCTAAAGGTGGCTAATGTTGGGCTATAAAGGAACTACAGCACGGTCACATGACTTCACGTCACCACCGCTAAGCTAAAGGAGGCTAATGTTGGGCTATAAAGGAACTACAGCACGGTCACATGACTTCACGTCACCACCGCCTAAGCTAAACGAGGCTAATGTTGGGCTACAAAGGAACTACAGCACGGTCACATGACTTCACCACCGCCTAAGCTAAAGGAGGCTAATGTTGGGCTATAAAGGAACTACAGCACGGTCACATGAATTCACGTCACCACCGCTAAGCTAAGGAGGCTAATGTTGGGCTATGAAGGAACTACAGCACGGTCACATGACTTCACTTCACCACCGCTAAGCTAAATGAGGCTAATGTTGGGCTATAAAGGAACTACAGCACGGTCACATGACTTCACGTCACCACCGCTAAGCTAAAGGAGGCTAATGTTGGGCTATAAAGAACTACAGCACGGTCACATGACTTCACGTCACCACCGCTAAGCTAAAGGAGGCTAATGTTGGGCTATAAAGGAACTACAGCACGGTCACATGACTTCATGTCACCACCGCTAAGCTAAAGGTGGCTAATGTTGGGCTATAAAGGAACTACAGCACGGTCACATGACTTCACGTCACCACCGCTAAGCTAAAGGAGGCTAATGTTGCGCTATAAAGGAACTACAGCACGGTCACATGACTTCACGTCACCACCACTAAGCTAAAGGTGGCTAATGTTGGGCTATAAAGGAACTACAGCACGGTCACATGACTTCACGTCACCACCGCTAAGCTAAAGGAGGCTAATGTTGGGCTATAAAGGAACTACAGCACGGTCACATGACTTCACGTCACCACCGCTAAGCTAAAGGAGGCTAATGTTGGGCTACAAAGGAACTACAGCACGGTCACATGACTTCACCACCGCTAAGCTAAAGGAGGCTAATGTTGGGCTATAAAGGAACTACAGCACGGTCACATGACTTCACGTCACCACCGCTAAGCTAAAGGAGGCTAATGTTGGGCTATAAAGGAACTACAGCACGGTCACATGACTTCACTTCACCACCGCTAAGCTAAATGAGGCTAATGTTGGGCTATAAAGGAACTACAGCATGGTCACATGACTTCACGTCACCACCGCTAAGCTAAAGGAGGCTAATGTTGGGCTATAAAGGAACTACAGCACGGTCACATGACTTCACGTCACCACCGCTAAGCTAAAGGAGGCTAATGTTGGGCTATAAAGGAACTACAGCACGGTCACATGACTTCACGTCACCACCGCTAAGCTAAAGGAGGCTAATGTTGGGCTATAAAGGAACTACAGCACGGTCACATGACTTTACGTCACCACCGCTAAGCTAAAGGAGGCTAATGTTGGGCTATAAAGGAACTACAGCACGGTCACATGACTTCATGTCACCACCGCTAAGCTAAAGGTGGCTAATGTTGGGCTATAAAGGAACTACAGCACGGTCACATGACTTCACGTCACCACCGCTAAGCTAAAGGAGGCTAATGTTGGGCTATAAAGGAACTACAGCACGGTCACATGACTTCACGTCACCACCGCTAAGCTAAAGGAGGCTAATGTTGGGCTATAAAGGAACTACAGCACGGTCACATGACTTCACTTCACCACCGCTAAGCTAAATGAGGCTAATGTTGGGCTATAAAGGAACTACAGCACGGTCACATGACTTCACGTCACCACCGCTAAGCTAAAGGAGGCTAATGTTGGGCTATAAAGGAACTACAGCACGGTCACATGACTTCACGTCACCACCGCTAAGCTAAAGGAGGCTAATGTTGGGCTATAAAGGAACTACAGCACGGTCACATGACTTCACGTCACCACCGCTAAGCTAAAGGAGGCTAATGTTGGGCTATAAAGGAACTACAGCACGGTCACATGACTTCACGTCACCACCGCCTAAGCTAAAGGAGGCTAATGTTGGGCTATAAAGGAACTACAGCACGGTCACATGACTTCATGTCACCACCGCTAAGCTAAAGGTGGCTAATGTTGGGCTATAAAGGAACTACAGCACGGTCACATGACTTCACGTCACCACCGCTAAGCTAAAGGAGGCTAATGTTGGGCTATAAAGGAACTACAGCACGGTCACATGACTTCACGTCATCACCACTAAGCTAAAGGTGGCTAGTGTTGGGCTATAAAGGAACTACAGCACGGTCACATGACTTCACGTCTCCATCGCTAAGCTAAAGGAGGCTAATGTTGGGCTATAAAGGAACTACAGCACGGTCACATGACTTCACGTCACCACCGCTAAGCTAAAGGAGGCTAATGTTGGGCTATAAAGGAACTACAGCACGGTCACATGACTTCACTTCACCACCACTAAGCTAAATGAGGCTAATGTTGGGCTATAAAGGAACTACAGCACGGTCACATGACTTCACGTCACCACCGCTAAGCTAAAGGTGGCTAATGTTGGGCTATAAAGGAACTACAGCACGGTCACATGACTTCACGTCACCACCGCTAAGCTAAAGGAGGCTAATGTTGGGCTATAAAGGAACTACAGTACGGTCACATGACTTCACGTCATCACCACTAAGCTAAAGGTGGCTAATGTTGGGCTATAAAGGAACTACAGCACGGTCACATGACTTCACGTCTCCATCGCTAAGCTAAAGGAGGCTAATGTTGAGCTATAAAAGGAACTACAGCACGGTCACATGACTTCACGTCTCCATCGCTAAGCTAAAGGAGGCTAATGTTGGGCTATAAAGGAACTACAGCACGGTCACATGACTTCACGTCATCACCACTAAGCTAAAGGTGGCTAATATTGGGCTATAAAGGAACTACAGCACGTCGCTAATTTCGTAGAACAAAACGTTAAAGTCTCTTCAGCTTGTGTTAACCACAGATCTTATTTCAGGATAACAACTAGAAACACATTCAGAAAACCTTTGACCTCCAGACCAGGGGACAGGAAGTTAGGAAATGCTGACTCATGCCGGAGTTAAAGACTCATTCATGCACCTACCTCTATAAACAGTATTTATTAAAAGTATTGTGTAGTGTTGATGTTGGTGGGCGGGGCTTACAGAAAAGGGGCGTGGCCGCTCTCTGCAGCAGCTCTTGCGTCTGATTGGCTGCGAGCTCGGCTCCACACAGCAGGCCTGCGGCGGCGCGCTCCGTGTTCTCCAGCGTGTTGGTGAGCGGGCCGCTGAGCAGCGCCGACATGAACAGGAAGAGGAGGAACTTCCTGCCCTGAGCTGAAACACAGGAGGAGGCACTGTCACTACCCGATCTGCAGCCCTGCCCTATCGGCAGTGCGCATGTGCGAGATGGTCCGCCATATTGGACAACTCCATACGGCAACTCCAATACGACACTTGATGTCTAGACGGCTGCCCGATTTGCATCGTGCATGCGCGAGTCATAAACGTCTCAAATATCTTTATTAAAATCTGTTGTTATTTTATTTCCCTAACATGAAGGACATTCACAGTTAATGTAATTAGATATAAATGATGAATGCATACATATTGCATACATTCACAGTCAATACTTCTTCAGCATGATAGCTGTCTAACAGAAGCTACAGTAAAAGAGCTGTTGAATAATAGTGAAGTGACGCTGTAATAACAATAACTCGTCTCTCTCGAGTTTTTTGAGTTTTCTTTTTGTGCTTTGCCAAACGCCACTGTGGCAAGGCAAGTTTATTTATACAGCACTTTTCTGTACGCGACAATTCAAAGTGCTTTACAAAACAAATGAAAAGACTTTTTAGGAATACATACAGTAAAAACACATATAATGGCATTTCACAACAGACAAAGCAAAGATAATACAATAATACAAATAAACACCACAGGTATACAATACATGTTTAAAAGGCATACTGTAGTTCCAATATGAGCATCTCAATTAAAAGCAGCGGCAAAGAGATGTGTTTTTAGTCTGGATTTTAAAATAGTAAGCGTTTCTGCGGACGTGCATGTTGGATAGTTTGTTCCAGAGTGTCGGGCATAACAGCTAAACGCTGCCTCTCCATGTTTTGTTGTTCCTCTCGGAGCCGATAGCAGACCCGTCCCAGAAGACCTGAGGCATCTCGATGGCTCCTAATTATGCAGGAGTTCAACAATATACTTAGGTCCTAAACCATGTAATGATTTAAAAACTAGCAATAGTACTTTAAAATCAATCTCTACACTGGCTTCGACTGGAAGCCAGTGTAGAGACTTCAGAACCGGACTGATGTGATCCACTCTTTTAGTGTCAGTGAGGACGTGTGAGGCTCAGGTTTGGGAAGGCTAAATCACTTTTTTTCATCTTACGCTGCCCGCCCCCGGCGTCTATAGAAAAGAGATCAACTCAGTGAAAGCACCGCCTGCTGACCGATCAGAGCTCAGTGTGCGGAGTTTAAATCTATCAAGTCATATTACAGGAAAAAGGAAATGCAGTTTAAACTGCCGTATGCAGAGAAGACGCCGACGTGTCGCACTTATCATTCATATCACACTGACATCACATCATCAATCAGATCATCGATCTCACCTCAATATCACACTATTTCCTTATCAGTCAGCTGAGCCGTATCTGGCCGTGCAACACTCACAGTGTCACAGACTGGATGCAGAAGGATTATTTGAAGCAACACATTAAATTGAGGAAACACTGGAGTCAAATGTAATAAAGTCAGATCGTGTCTTAGACGGGCAGTGATATCATAAAGCTGTTACGCTTTCAAACACTCGGTAGTTTATTTATTTTTTAACGAGTTGTTCTGTATTCACCTTGCAGCAACTATGTGGCTTGTATCCTGGATTATATGTTTAAGTCATCATGGATGTTTAAAGTTCATATTTGTCTAATATTAGTTTACTTTTCATTAATGAAGTATGACATTGCGCTGTCAGTACACTTGTCCCTGTTTGTGATTGGTCAAATGTAGCTAACCCCGCCCCTTTCACGTGAACGCGTTCTCAGCAGGAGAGAGAACCCCTGGCTTGATTTACCGAGTTGATAACCAGCGCCGTAGGACCGTTTAGCGAGATCGCGTTTGTTAGGGTTAGTTAAGATAACTCAAGCATATCCAGGGTCTGTTGAACTGGCTTCGTGGTGCGCGGTGTCAAAGACATTATATTTTTATTTTACCAGGATGCAGCGACACAAATATCTGGGAAGTCTTCCCTAGCCTACAGCACCCGCCGCCCCTGCGAGCAGCAGCGTTCTGGATCAGCTGCAGCTTTCTGATGGATTCTTTAGTGAGCCCTTTGAAGACACCATTGCAGTAGTCGAGTCTACTGAAGATAAAAGCATGGACAAGCTTTTCTAAATCCTGCTGTGACATTAGTTTTTTAATCCTCGAGGTCTGAGTCCATCTCTACACCCAGATGTCTGGCTTTGTGAGTTACTTCGTAGTCTGCCGACTGAAGCTCTGCGGTTACTTTTAATCGGTCCTTCTTTGCTCCAAAAACAATGATCTCAGTGTTTTGTTCAGTTGGAGAAGGTTCTGATCGTCCAGTCAGTGATGTGCTCAATGCACTTGCTCAGTGTTCTAATCGGAGAACAGTCTCCTGGTGGGATTTTAAAATACATCTGGGTGTCGTCTGCATAGATGTGATAGCTTAGATCGCTCTTTTTAATCATTTCAGCCAGAGGTAGCATATAAATATGCGTCAAGTGTCCTTCTTGGGTTGCCGTACGGAGTTGTCCAATATGGCGGACCATCTCCCACATGTGCACTGCAGATAGGGCAGGGATGCAGATTGGGTAGTGACAGGCACAACAATCCCACAATGCACTGCTCCATTCAACCACAGATTTAAGAATACCTTATAGACTAAAGTGACATATAAGACTATTTCATTTGAAAAACACTGTTACTGATATCGGATTGGTGCATCAATATGAAACAGTGCAATGTTAATACATGTGTATGAAAACAGACTGCAAGCATGTAGCCCCCTCTGCGGGAACTGTCCACCTGTGCAGGTGAGTGCTGGTCTGACCTGCAGACAGTGAAGGTAGCATCACGCAGACGGAGGTCCGGACCACGGAGGACAAGCCCATGGAGAAGGAGGCGATGGCGGCGAGGCTGAGGGTGAGGGAGACGCAGAGCCAGAGCTCCTGCAGGGGCAGACAGGAGACCCCGTACAGAGAGGCCAGCAGCAGGCCGGAAACAAACGCACCCAGGCTGCACCCCCCCTCCACCAGGTGACCTCTGACCCCAGCAGGCAGAGGGCGGCACGCTGACCTGGGGAGGGATGATGTTGGAAAATATATCAGAATCCCTTTATCACAGAGGGGACATTTACATTGCTCCAGCAGAAAGGAGCCAGGCAGCTTCATGTTCCCTCAATGCACACAACAAGTGTTGAAGATTCAAAAAAGAAATTATAATAAAAATAAGTTACACATTTGACAAAATGCACATGGTGTAACAGTTCTGAGATTTAGCAGCCAGGTGTATAGTGCACAGTTTTTAACGGCATCTATAAAGTAAAGAAATGTATTAGATAAACCCCTTGAGATGCAGCATCTGGTTTTAGAGGGGGTCCCGACCAACAGACAAACCACACACAGTCTGTTCAGTACAATTCATGAAGTAATACATACAATCACCACAATGTGATAGACAGTGTCTGATAGATCAGTTTGAGCAAGAGCAGCTGAAAGTGAGATGCTGCTGAAACACACGGTGATGATCTCCAGTCTGTTGGAGCTCTCAACATCAACGCTCTGCTGACAATTATCTTTTATACTGAAAACACTGAGTGTCCTCCTCCAACCTGAGAGCAGCATGCTAACAGAGGTATCAACTGTAGCTGTGAACATGACAGGATGTGTGATGACCTAGAAGAGCATCAGGACTGTTTGAGGCAGATGATAGCTATGTGATTAACATGATGATTCAGCCTCTATGGAGAGAGACATCAAGCATGCTCATTTCTGACGTGGAGCTAATCTGAAGTAAACATTGAATACTGCTTTCTATTCCTCCATCTTGTGACTGTGTGACTCCCTCTCTTGATATCAGCATGTGAAGGACACTGCTCAGGAACTAGTCTCTGTATGGGATGACTCCTTCTGGAGAGGATCACATGGATCTGAGGCTGAGGATGAAGCCGGGGACCAGGGAGAGTCTCTAACAGAAAACATCTGATCTTATATTTACTCTTTGTTTCACATTCATTCACGTATTCATTCTTCTGTTTCTATGATTCATAATAAATATTTTAAATATTTCGATATGTTTTAAATGATCAACATGATATAATATATATTTTATACTTTTAATCATGTTGTGAATATTGAAATGTTTTATAGTCTGTCAGTAGACGTGTCAGATTCAAATAAACAGGCAGTTCTTAACTTGAGAAGGTGATGAGATAGAGCCGTGTTGTGGCACTGCTTTCAGGTTGAATAAACTAAAGCATCAACATAGCAATGATGTGATGTTCAAAATAGATTTTGACTATAGCTGAAGATATCAGATGCAACCAGAGCTCATGGTGCGTTCACACGTTCGCATCCCGTTATTGTTTGTCCATCGTTGGTACTGAAGTCTCCTCTCACCTGTGCAGGACTCCTCTGAAGGAGCGTCTGGCTCCGCCCCTCTCCACCTGAACTTTGACCTCAGTCTTCATCAGGACCGTCTTCCTCTTCTTCATCCTCTGTTTCCTGGAGACCAAAGCTGCGTGAAACTACAGACAATACAACTTACTCCATCTGACTCCAACTGACTCCAACTGACTCCAACTGACTCCATCTGACTCCAACTGACTCCATCTGACTCCAACTGACTCCAACTGATTCCATCTGACTTCAACTGACTCCAACTGACTCCAACTGACTCCATCTGACTCCAACTGACTCCATCTGACTCCATCTGACTCCATCTGACTCCAACTGACTCCATCTGACTCCAACTGACTCCAACTGACTCCAACTGACTCCATCTGACTCCAACTGACCCATCTGACTCCAACTGACTCCAACTGACTCCCAACTGACTCCAACTGACTCCAACTGACTCCATCTGACTCCAACTGACCCACCGACCGACCAACCGACCAGCTGACCAACCGCCCAACCGACCAGCTGACCAACCGACCAACTGACCAACCAACCAACTGACCAACTGACCAACCGACCAACTGACCAGCCGACCAAGCGATCAGCCGACCAACTGCCCAACTACCCAACCGACGGACAGAAACTCACAGACTGAATTACATTTAGTTTTACTTTACGTTTAATTTGATCTGTCAGCAGACAGCAGTTTTCCTGATGGCCGACACTGACCGGCACAGAGATCCTCACAGCAGTAAGTTTCATTTCCTCCATTCCCTGTTTCCTTTAACTCATCATGTTTTAGAAGCTAACGCCCTGCTACCTCTCAGCTGACACTAGCTGCTCTGTTTCCTGTTACCTTTAACTCATCATGTTTTAGAAGCTAACGCCCTGCTACCTCTCAGCTAACACTAGCTGCTCTGTTTCCTGTTTCCTTTAACTCATCATGTTTTAGAAGCTAACGCCCTGCTACCTCTCAGCTAACACTAGCTAGTCTGTTTCCTGTTACCTTTAATTCATCATGTTTTAGAAGCTAACACCCTGCTACCTCTCAGCTGACACTAGCTGCTCTGTTTCCTGTTACCTTTAACTCATCATGTTTTAGAAGCTAACGCCCTGCTACCTCTCAGCTAACACTAGCTGCTCTGTTTCCTGTTTCCTTTAACTCATCATGTTTTAGAAGCTAACGCCCTGCTACCTCTCAGCTAACACTAGCTGCTCTGTTTCTTGTTTCCTTTAACTCATCATGTTTTAGAAGCTAACGCCCTGCTACCTCTCAGCTAACACTAGCTGCTCTGTTTCCTGTTTCCTTTAACTCATCATGTTTTAGAAGCTAACGCCCTGCTACCTCTCAGCTAACACTAGCTGCTCTGTTTCCTGTTTCCTTTAACTCATCATGTTTTAGAAGCTAACGCCCTGCTACCTCTCAGCTAACACTAGCTGCTCTGTTTCCTGTTACCTTTAACTCATCATGTTTTAGAAGCTAACTCCCTGCTACCTCTCAGCTAACACTAGCTGCTCTGTTTCCTGTTTCCTTTAACTCATCATGTTTTAGAAGCTAACGCCCTGCTACCTCTCAGCTAACACTAGCTGCTCTGTTTCCTGTTTCCTTTAACTCATCATGTTTTAGAAGCTAACGCCCCTGCTACCCTCTCAGCTAACACTAGCTGCTCTGTTTCCTGTTACCTTTAACTCATCATGTTTTAGAAGCTAACTCCCTGCTACCTCTCAGCTAACACTAGCTGCTCTGTTTCCTGTTACCTTTAACTCATCATGTTTTAGAAGCTAACGCCCTGCTACCTCTCAGCTAACACTAGCTGCTCTGTTTCCTGTTACCTTTAACTCATCATGTTTTAGAAGCTAACGCCCCTGCTACCTCTCAGCTAACACTAGCTGCTCTGTTTCCTGTTACCTTTAACTCATCATGTTTTAGAAGCTAACGCCCTGCTACCTCTCAGCTAACACTAGCTGCTCTGTTTCCTATTTCCTTTAACTCATCATGTTTTAGAAGCTAACGCCCTGCTACCTCTCAGCTAACACTAACTGCTCTGTTTCCTGTTACCTTTAACTCATCATGTTTTAGAAGCTAACTCCCTGCTACCTCTCAGCTAACACTAGCTGCTCTGTTTCCTGTTACCTTTAACTCATAATGTTTTAGAAGCTAACGCCCTGCTACCTCTCAGCTGACACTAGCTGCTCTGTTTCCTGTTTCCTTTAACTCATCATGTTTTAGAAGCTAACTCCCTGCTACCTCTCAGCTAACACTAGCTGCTCTGTTTCCTGTTACCTTTAACTCATCATGTTTTAGAAGCTAACGCCCTGCTACCTCTCAGCTAACACTAGCTGCTCTGTTTCCTGTTACCTTTAACTCATCATGTTTTAGAAGCTAACGCCCTGCTACCTCTCAGCTAACACTAGCTGCTCTGTTTCCTGTTTCCTTTAACTCATCATGTTTTAGAAGCTAACGCCCTGCTACCTCTCAGCTAACACTAGCTGCTCTGTTTCCTGTTACCTTTAAGGTGACCAGATTGTCAAAATTAAAACCGGGGACATTTTGAGTTTTGCGGTCAATATATCATTAACATATCCAATTTTCTTCACTGTTAAAGAAACAAGGGGGACAATTCTGGTTCAATGTAATTCGAACATTTGAACTGTTGGATACAAACAGAAGGACGATAGCTCATATATGAGACTTCAGGTCTTTTATTTTGAAACTGTACATCAGATTGTCCAGATTCTCTCTGATTAGATGGGGTGTCCTGCTATCACCCTGAAGTGAAATAAGTATTTGATACTGGATTGTTTTTGTTTTATTCTTATCTAAAAACAGAGGGATGATAGCCATGATATATGAGATTTCAAAAGTATTTTATTTTGACATTCTACATCAGATTGTCCTGATTTTCTCTGATTGACTAGATGGGATCTCCTGCTATCACCCTGAAGTGAAATAAGTATTTGATTGACTTCGAGTGACTCTTTGATTATGGACGGTTTCCATTAAATAATAATCAAAATATAGATGGACAATAGATCTAATTTGAGATTTTAAACAGCATACATTTTAAATTGTGCTTCAGAAAGTAATGTTATTTTAGGAGTGTTGTGAGATGGTGTCAACATCAATTGAAATTAGTCACCCAGTGGAAATGTCAGATATGTCTTCATAACTGTATCCTTACATTTTACATTCTCAGTTATAATGTGTTAGTTATACGTAGTATGTTTTAAATTATTATTGATCACATTATATAGTACATATTTCTTAATTTAAGCTCCAGTATATATGAATATGTGTGGTGTGTTTTTTAGGTATATTTGTTATTGACCGAGTAAACGCTTTTATATTGAAGGCAGTTTTTACAGGCCTCTACCGTAATGCATAGGATATTCACGCACCGCAATACAACGTGCGGGCTGGCTTGACTGTGTTTTCCGAAGTGGAGGCTGGCTCGACCACAGTCTGTTTACCCAGTGTTTCCTGACATGAAACGTTTTATTTCACCTTGCTATGTGTTTTTAACGTATATTAAAAAACGGGGACATTTCCGGGGACAGTTTCAACCGGGGACAGGCCAATACAAACGGGGACTGTCCCCGGAAAACGGGGACGTCTGGTCACCCTACTTTAACTCCTCATGTTTTAGAAGCTAACGCCCAGCTACCTCTCAGCTGACACTAGCTGCTCTGTTAGCTGAGAGGTAGCTGGGCGTTTGTACCAATAGGGGTCTTGAATTTACTTTATTGTGTTTTATTTAGTACTATCCTTTTACCTGTTGCTGAGCTAAATGTGTGCCAAAAGGATTTGTGATGTTGTTAAAATGTTGAACATTAATTGAATGCTATTTTCTGCATAACACCCGTATTACACTGTTATTAACTACATTGTTAATGTGCTAATCAGCGGTGGAGCGGCTGAGTCTGAACTTCCTGCCTCCTGTTGTCCATCGTCTCCTCTTCAGCCAATCAGAAGAGTTCCCTGGGGGCCGCCTCCTCCTCAGGGCAGTGTACGGAGCCGTGAGCGGGACAGGTGAGAGGAGAAAAATATATTTTAAATGTTAAATCTATTAAGAGTTTTATTTCTTTATATATATATATATTTAATAAGAGTTGTCGTATTTCTTTCTCTTTTATTAAAGGTTAATGTATTTTTTATTTACATATTTTTGTTATTTCTAATGCTAAATGTTTTTATTTTCTCCCTATGTGTCAGTCCTGTTCCTGGGACTCTGTCACAGTCTGCCGCTGACCTTTGACCTGCAGCTGGCAGCTGCAGCTGTATTCATTGGTGAGGAGACATCATCTGTTTATACATAAATGTGTGTGTGTGTGTGTGTGTGTGCTGCCCTCTCTTCCTCCTGCAGATCCATCCATCCATCCATCTTCTCCCGCTTATCCGTGGTCGGGTCGCGGGGGTAGCAGTTCCAGTAGAGAGCCCCAAACTTTCTTTTCCCTGGCCACATCAACCAGCTCTGACTGGGAGGTCCCAAGGCGCTCCCAGGCCAGCGAAGAGATATAATCCCTCCACCTGGTCCTAGGTCTACCCCTTGGTCTCTTCCCAGCTGGACGTGCCTCGAACACCTCCCTAGGGAGGCGCCCAGGTGGCATCCTAACTAGGTGCCCGAACCACCTCAACTGGCTCCTTTCGACACGAAGGAAGAGCGGTTCAACTCCGAGTCCCTCCCGGATGACCGAACTTCTCACCTTATCCCTAAGGGAGACACCAGCCACCCTGCGGAGAAAACCCATCTCGGCCGCTTGTATCCGCGATCTCGTTATTTCGGTCATGACCCATCCTTCATGACCATAGGTGAGGGTAGGAACAAAAATGGCCCGGTAGACAGAGAGCTTTGCCTTCTGGCTCAGTTCCCTTTTCGTCACAACGGTGCAGTAAAGCGACTGCAGTACCGCTCCCGCTGCTCCGATTCTCCGGCCCATCTCACGCTCCATTGTTCCCTCACTCGAGAACAAGACCCCGAGATACTTGAACTCCTTCACTTGGGGTAAGGACTCATTCCCTACTTGAAGTGGACAGTCCGTCGGTTTCCTACTGAGAACCATGGCCTCAGATTTGGAGGTGCTGATCCTCATCCCAGCCGCTTCACACTCGGTTGCGAACCGATCCAGTGAGTGCTGAAGGTCGCTGACCGATGAAGCCATTAGAACCACATCATCTGCAAAAAGCAGTGGTGCAATCCTTAGTCCACCAAACTGCAGACCCCCTCCCCCATGACTACGCCTCCAAATCCGATCCATGTATATTACAAACAGGATTGGTGGCAAAGCGCAGCCCTGGCGGAGGCCAACCCTCACCGGAAATGGGTCTGACTTACTGCCGAGGACCCGGACACAGCTCTCGCTTTGGGAGTACAGAGATTGGATGGCCCTGAGTAGAGACCCCCTCACCCCATACTCCCGCAGCACCTCCCACAGTAACTCCCTGGGAACTCGGTCATACGCCTTCTCCAAGTCTACAAAACACATGTAGACCGGATAAGCGTACTCCCAGGCCCCCTCCAGGATCCTTGCGAGAGTAAAAAGCTGATCCGTCGTTCCACGACCAGGACGGAATCCGCATTGTTTCTCCTCAATCCGAGGTTCGACAATCGGCCTGACCCTCCTTTCGAGTACCTTAGAGTAAACTTTCCCGGGGAGGCTGAGTAGTGTGATGCCTCTGTAATAGGCACACACCCTCTGATCCCCCTTTTTAAAAAGGGGAACCACCACCCCCGGTCTGCCCACTCCTTCGGTACTGTTTCCGACTTCCACGCAATGTTGATGAGACGTGTAAACCATGACAGTCCCTCAACACCCAGAGCATTCAGTATTTCTGGGCGGATCTCATCCACCCCCGGGGCTTTGCCACTGTGGAGTTGTTTGAAGACCTCAGTGACCTCCCCCCAGGAGATTCGTGTTGATCCCCCGTCATACTCCAGCTCTGCCTCTAACATAGAGGGCGGAGTTGTCGGGTTCAGGAGTTCCTCAAAGTATTCCTTCCAACGCCCTAACACTCCATCAGTTGAGGTCAACAACGTCCCATCCTTACTGTACACAGCTTGGATGGTTCCCTGCTTCCCCCTCCTGAGGTGTCGGACAGTTTTCCAGAACAACTTTGGTGCCGCCCGAAAGTCCTTCTCCATGTCTTCTCCGAACTTCTCCCACACCCGCTGCTTTGCCAGGGCCACGGATGAGGCTAATGCCCTTCGCTGTCGGTACCTTGCAACTGCCTCGGGAGTCCCCCGGGATAACAAATCCCTGAAGGCCTCCTTCTTCAGTCGGACGGCTTCCCTGACCACCGGTGTCCACCAGGAAGTTCGAGGGTTACCGCCCCTTGAGGCACCTAGGACCTTGAGACCACAGCTCCCCGCCGTGGCTTCGGCAATAGAGGCTTTGAACACCGACCACTCTGGTTCAATGTCCCGAACCTCCACAGGAATGCCAGAAAAGCTCCGCCGGAGGTGTGAGTTGAAGGCCTCCTGAACTTGGGCCTCCTCCAGACGTTCCCAGTTCACCCGAACTACACGTTTGGGCTTACCAGGTCTATCCAGAGGCTTCCCCCGCCACTCGACCCAACTCACCACCAGATGGTGATCAGTTGACAACTCCGCCCCTCTCTTTACCCGAGTGTCCAA